CGCTTTTTCGCTCTGAACGCAAAAGTTGGATTGGTGGCAAAGGTCATTCTGTATCTGACCAAGTTCGCAAGGCTCTGGGCCAGGTCTGGATTGAGAATAGCACTCGCGTCGAGAGGTTGCGGTGCTGTAGTCTGTGCTGCGCGGAGAGTACTTGCTCAGAGAACTTGCTCGTAGAAATATGTTCGGAAAAACTTGTTACGACATCTTGTTCTGAGAACTTGTGGCAAGAGCTTGCTAGGCGAACTTTCTCAGACCACCAACTTATTTCTTGTGCAGAGAACTTACTAGCAGAACTTGCCACTGTGAACGCTTTCAAGCCACACCCTGTTTTTTGCTTGAGACAGGGGGGGAGCGCGACGTGGAGCTTGCTACTTTCTGCAAAACGGGCGCAGAAGACCTTCCCAGCTGTTCTAGGGTGGAAGTGCGGCCATTTTTTCAGCCACGTCAATAACTTCAATGCCTGGGTCGGCTTCAGCTGCGCCAGGCGACAGGATCTGGTCGCTATCGCAGCCAGTCTTCCAACATCCTCAGGCACGGGCAAGTCGCACGAGACCGAGTCAGAAAAACACGAAAAAACAAAGGTTTGCTCTGGTCCTTTTTCACGAGGCGAGCGTTTGTTGGATCCCTTGTGCGGTGAAACGTATCCGGCATTGCTGGCTTTTCCCGACACTCGCACAGGGTGCGTCGCGCGCCGGAGAATCCCTCAAATTCCGACTTGGATGTTAACTAAAGTATTTCATTCGAATACCCATGTAAACATGCCATTAAACTGTTTACGACTCATGCTTCAAGCGAGGCTTGCGCTGGGATTCGCACATGAAATAACGCAGTGGAGAGCAATTCGCGCACGGAGGCTGCCGAGACACTTCATTGGCCGACGGCTGCAGTTGCGTGTCCTTTTTCTTGGGATTTCGCGTAAGTCGCCAAGTTTGGTTTTAGATGTCAATGTCCACAAAACGGCCGTTTGCGGGTGGATACCCGGCTTTTTTTTTTGGGGGGGGGGGGGGGTTGGGCATGTTTGTCGCTTTTGCGAAGAGGCTTGAGTCCGCTGTCTACATCGGAAGCTTTTCGACGCACATCATCGCAAGGCTCGGGGGGCTTGCAGTGCAAAGAAAAGAGGATGTAAAGTGCGCAAGGGAGCGCTGTGCGTTCCGCGCTTTGCAGTCTAGAGAGTGGCCCGGTGGCCGAGATAACGTTGACTTCGAGGTAACACTGGGCAAGTTGGTTGTTGACGTGCCCGCGATCGCTGTTAGAATCGTTATATAGCGAAAGACGGGCGCGGACGGGGGGAAGCGAGGTGTAGTATACTTTTTGGCGAGCGACGCGCCGGTTGGCAGCAGCAGCCCGGCGAGGTCGCCAGAGCCTCGTCGAGGCGCAGGGGATCGTGACGACTGCGTGGAAAGCTAGTTTTTTTGGTGGGGGATTTGTCAGGCTTTAAATTTTGTTGGAAGCGGGGGGCGTCATTTTCCGCAGAAGAGCAGTTTGAATCTTGTTAGATGCGAGTCTGACCCATGGGGCTGGCATGTTGTTTCAAATCGCTGATGAGATGGCGTCTAAGTCACATGCGTTGTGGTTGTTCGGTTGTTCTGGTAGTGTGAAAGTGGGTGGCTGGAGCCAGGCCCGTGAACGCCCTGAACTTCAGAGAGCAGGCGCCGCTTTTTCGCTCTGAACGCAAAAGTTGGATTGGTGGCAAAGGTCATTCTGTATCTGACCAAGTTCGCAAGGCTCTGGGCCAGGTCTGGATTGAGAATAGCACTCGCGTCGAGAGGTTGCGGTGCTGTAGTCTGTGCTGCGCGGAGAGTACTTGCTCAGAGAACTTGCTCGTAGAAATATGTTCGGAAAAACTTGTTACGACATCTTGTTCTGAGAACTTGTGGCAAGAGCTTGCTAGGCGAACTTTCTCAGACCACCAACTTATTTCTTGTGCAGAGAACTTACTAGCAGAACTTGCCACTGTGAACGCTTTCAAGCCACACCCTTTTTTTGCTTGAGACAGGGGGGAGCGCGACGTGGAGCTTGCTACTTTCTGCAAAACGGGCGCAGAAGACCTTCCCAGCTGTTCTAGGGTGGAAGTGCGGCCATTTTTTCAGCCACGTCAATAACTTCAATGCCTGGGTCGGCTTCAGCTGCGCCAGGCGTCAGGATCTGGTCGCTGTCGCAGCCAGTCTTCCAACATCCTCAGGCACGGGCAAGTCGCGCGAGACCAAGTCAGAAAAACACGAAAAAAACAAAGGTTTGCTCTGGTCCTTTTTCACGAGGCGATAATTCGTTGTGCGGTGAAACATATCCGGCATTGCTGGCTTTTCCCGACACTCGCACAGGGTGCATCGTGCGCCGGAGAATCCCTCAAATTCCGACTTGGATGTTAACTAAAGTATTTCATCCGAATACCCATGTAAACATGCCATTAAACTGTTTACGACTCATGCTTCAAGCGAGGCTTGCGCTGGGATTCGCACATGAAATAACGCAGTGGAGAGCAATTCGCGCACGGAGGCTGCCGAGACACTTCATTGGCCGACGGCTGCAGTTGCATGTCCTTTTTCTTGGGATTTCGCGTAAGTCGCCAAGTTTGGTTTTAGATGTCAATGTCCACAAAACGGCCGTTTGCGGGTGGATACCCGGCCTTTTTTTTTTTTGTGGGGGGGGGTTGGGCATGTTTGTCGCTTTTGCGAAGAGGCTTGAGCCCGCTGTCTACATCGGAAGCTTTTCGACGCACATCATCGCAAGGCTCGGGGGGCTTGCAGCGCAAAGAAAAGCGCAAGGGAGCGCTGTGCGTTCCGCGCTTTGCAGTCTAGAGAGTGGCCCGGTGGCAGAGATAACGTTGACTTCGAGGTAACGCTGGGCAAGTTGGTTGTTGACGTGCCCGCGATCGCTGTTAGAATCGTTATAGCGAAAGACGGGCGCGGACGGGGGGAAGCGAGGTGTAGTATACTTTTTGGCGAGCGACGCACCGGTTGGCAGGCAGCAGCCCGGCGAGGTCGCCAGAGCCTCGTCGACTCGCATTTTCGCCAGGCGCAGGGGATCGTGACGACTGCGTGGAAAGCTAGTTTTTTTTGGTGGGGGATTTGTCAGGCTTTAAATTTTGTTGGAAGCGGGGGGCGTCATTTTTCCGCAGAAGGGCAGTTTGAATCTTCTTAGATGCGAGTCTGACCCATGGGGCTGGCATGTTGTTTCAAATCGCTGATGAGATGGCGTCTAAATCACACACGTTGTGGTTGTTCTGGTAGTGTGAAAGTGGGTGGCTGGAGCCAGGCCCGTGAACGCCCTGAACTTCAGAGAGCAGGCGCCGCTTTTTCGCTCTGAACGCAAAAGTTGGATTGGTGGCAAGGGTCATTCTGTATCTGACCAAGTTCACAAGGCTCTGGGCCAGGTCTGGATTGAGAATAGCACTCGCGTCGAGAGGTTACGGTGTTGTAGTCTGTGCTGCGCGGAGAGTACTTGCTCAGAAAATTGCTCGTAGAAATATGTTCGGAAAAACTTGTTAAGACGTCTTGTTCTGAGAACTTGTGGCAAGAGCTTGCTAGGCGAACTTTCTCAGACCACCAACTTATTTAACTTGCGCAGAGAGCTTGCTAGCAGAACTTGCCACTGTGAACGCTTTCAAGCCACACCCTTTTTTTGCTTGAGACAGGGGGGGAGCGCGACGTGGAGCTTGCTACTTTCTGTAAAACGGGCGCAGAAGACCTTCCCAGCTGTTCTAGGGTGGAAGTGCGGCCATTTTTTCAGCCACGTCAATAACTTCAATGCCTGGGTCGGCTTCAGCTGCGCCAGGCGTCAGGATCTGGTCGCTGTCGCAGCCAGTCTTCCAACATCCTCAGGCACGGGCAAGTCGCACGAGACCGAGTCAGAAAAAACGAAAGGGGGAAGGTTTGCTCTGGTCCTTTTTCACGAGGCGAGCGTTTGTTGGATCCCTTGTGCGGTGAAACATATCCGGCATTGCTGGCTTTTCCCGACACTCGCGCAGGGTGCATCGTGCGCCGGAGAATCCCTCAAATTCCGACTTGGATGTTAACTAAAGTATTTCATCCGAATACCCATGCAAACATGCCATTAAACTGTTTACGACTCATGCTTCAAGCGAGGCTTGCGCTGGGATTCGCATGAAATAACGCATTTCAACCAAATTTCACGGGTGGAAGCAAGTAAACACTGTATTAGGGTAATCGTGACACTTGTTAGATATGCACAGTCCTTCCAAAATTCCAAGTCCAATGTCAACGTTGAAGATGAGGGAAATTGCGGGCGTAAGTTGCACGCGACTCGCGCGATGTCGTCTCCGACCGCCCAATGGACCGGCGCGTCCTCGACAGCGAGGTCGCGCGAAGACGTATGGGGCGCGCCAGCTTTCCAGTTCTGGTCTGAGAAGTTCAACGACGCGCAGATGCTGCGCGACCCCGCCAAGTGCGAAGAGGCGGGTTTCTCAAATGGGGAACCTGGAAAATTGCATGGTCAACTCTTCTCAGACAGGCGCCCAAAAAAAAAACCTCAGGTCTTTCCTGGCAGCGCGGCTTTCAACATGGGCGAGTCCGCGTGGGCTGCGGACGTTCGGAAGTTTGTGCACATGCTCCTGCCAGAGATAGACACGTGGGATGTGCCACGGGCCCTGTCGTACCTGGACCGCTGCGGTGTGCACACTTGGTGCGAAGCGCCTTTGCTGCCAGTAGTGCGGCACGTGGCTTCGACGGTGGCCATGGAGGCAATATGCTTGGACGGCGCACTGGATAGTCTATTTGGCTACTTCACGAACCACGACTGCCGAGTGGTTGACAACTCCCTGACCTTCAAGGCAGGCTTTTTCGAGAAGCGGAGTGTTGGATTTCACAGTGAAGTTGGCGGGAGTTCGCCACAAGCTGGCTGCGTCAGCCAGGTATTGGGGCTGACTCCGTGAGATTCCGTGTGTGTGTCTTTATTGGGGTGGTTTGTTTGCCGACACGCCGAACAATTGCGATCTTTAGGCTAAATGACAGTGGCCAGAAAGCTGGCTTCAATGTTCGCAGGTGGATGAGGCCGCCATCATGATGATGGACAGCGGAGGTGGCAAGTCTCCTCTGATCATGAAGGTTCTGCTCTCGGAGCTGGTGTCTAGGGTGGACGCCGTGGAGGAAAGAGTGCCGGGCGGTCTTGCAAGTGTGCTGCAAGCTTCCACCAACTGGTGTGGCTGGCGGGACGTTGTGCCGCAGTTGGGCTACAGGTCGCTTTTCTTCTGGGAGGAGCTCTTCATGGGGGTCAAGAAAATGGGGGAGGCCTCCGACCGCAAGATGTCCTTGGAGGATTTGATTCGGATCATTAACCCGCTGGCCACATCTGGCGGAGATCTGAGGGGCTCCAAGGATGCCGAGATCAAGAGCGAGACCAAATCCAGTTTGATCTCCGGGCTGCAGTACTCTACAATGCATGAGTACTTGGGCGGCGACTCAAAGGGCGCACTGGAAAGATTGACGTTCTACCTCAGTTCGGCTCAGAAGGCGAAGGACACCAAGCAGCAACAGCGAAACTTGGCCTGCGTAGATGACACAAAAGGCGGTGAACTCTCATTCTGGCATCGCTGGGCAGCAAACAAAAACGAAAGCACAGCCCCGAAAGCATAGCCTCACTGCGTGCCGCTTTGTAAGGGATGGTCCCACGATTGCTTCGAACGCAGCAAGTGGTTGAAGCAGGGCGGGTCTCAAGACAAGTGGCGTGGTTTGAATTACTTCGCAAGGGGGGGCGCTTGCGCTCGGCCAGGAAAGGCTGACAGAAGCTCTTCCATGCGCTTACTGCGTGCCATGCTGGGCGCGCACGTTCGGGCTCACTTTCCGCCAGAAGTTCAAGCGCAGTTCGTCGCCTCGCTGCAGGAGGCGGAAGAAGGCACCTGGATGGGTTGGAATGCCGAGAGCGTGCTCGTAAGTTTTGCTTTTATTCTTTTCTTGCGGCCGTAGTTGCAGATGTGTTTGGGATTCTGTTCTTGCAGCACTCGAAGAACAACGATGCTTTAGAGGGCCTGGGTGGGGCACGCTCAGTTGACCAGAGCCGCATGTTTCAGCCGATTGTCACGCGCAGGCGATGAGCCTGAGGAAGGGCGCCCGAAGAAAAAACGGAGGAAAAGCCAGCCGGCGCCGCCGGCCCCTCCGCCTTCGGGCTTGGTGTGGCGGCTGCACGAAAAATGCAGCCGCTACGCAGACACGGTCGCTGATGAAATACGGTCGCAAGTGCCTATGGACTTGGCGACCCACCCAATATTCGCACAATTCTTAAAGTGGGACCAGAGCTTACTCCGCACAATGGCGCTGAAGGCAATGCGACGAGAGGCGCTCACAGCCGTGCTGCGCAGAGAGGAAGGGTACCAGCCGAGCTTTGTGGTTCACCCAGCGGACGCTGTGCGTGCTGAGCGTGCTGCCCGTGCGCGGTTGTGCATGCGCCTGGCCATCTACAACGAGCTGAGAAAACACCGCCCCAGAGGCCCGGAGGTACCCATCCCAGTGTCGAGCGAGCGTGGCTTCCACGCGATGCTGCAAAAGATATTGCGCACTGCGGAGCAGAAGCAAGGTGAGCTGTCCTACGCCTACCCCCTGTTACGCTACTGGCCACACTTTGCTCGAATGTCTGGCTGGTTGCTCTTCCTGGAGATGATGCAGCGGAATGGGTTGCTTGCTGCGGTGCAGCAAGACGGGGCTTGGGCGCCGGTGACGGCCGACACGCGTATCACTACGACGGTTGGCTACAACAACCGCGACACGGCGCCCTCTGTGAAGATCAAGGTGGACGAGCTGAGGCAGCTTCTGGAACGCAACCTGGAAGGGTTTGTGCGCGAAGACGCAGGCTGGCCAATTGTTTTTCTCAGGCTGACGTTCACGCTTTGGTTACGCCTTGGCTTCTGGAGCGCAGCCATTGAAGAGGGCGGAAGGCCCTCATTTTCCAGAGTTGCTGACGTGCGTTGTTTTCAGGGGGCTATCGTGTTTGTCGCAGGCGCGCGCGCGTGCTTCCAGAAGTCAACTTGATTACGGATTGCTTTGTTGATATCTGGCGGAGGCAACGTTGTGGATCCGTTTTTCCCAACCCGCGCATGTGGCGCATGTGTGTCCTGCCTTGGCCGCTCCAGGCCAACGGACGGGCGCTGGCGCAGCTTCAGCCGGAGTTCGTGCAGGTGTTGCGATTCTGGTTGGGGGGAGGAGCGCCGATCCAGGTCGCAGGCTAGATATGTTACGGAGATTGGAGCCGACTCTCTTGTTGGCTTGTTACTTGTTGACGGGGACTCGTGAAACGAGCGATGAAGCAGAGTTGCGCCCCCGGATTGTTTGTTTTGGGTTGATACGCGGCCGTTTTCGGAGACTCACCATCATGTTTTTTGGGAGTTGACACGGGCTGCGGTGTGGTGGTAAATGGTGTTTGGGCGCATATGCGTTTTTTGGGGGCGGGCGATCGTTCAAGTGCTTCTAGGTGGACGGGCGCCTGCTGATGAGGCTTCAGCCGGACCTCAAGTCGCAGGCGTTTGCGATTTTGGGGGCAAGTCAGGCATGGCGGTCGCTGAGCTTCATTGGCACTGGTTTGTTCAGGAAGTTGCGGGAAGCGGGCGTTGTGTCTGTAAGTAAACGTATTGGCGCAGCGAAGGGGGAGGGGCGGGGAAAGGTGAGTAGTCAAGCCAAGGGCATTTAAGAGGTTGTCATTGTTCACAAAATGGGCCGGATGCCTTTTCATTAATTTCTGGGTGGACGCGCGGCTGTTTTTGCTTGGAGTTGATGTGTCCCAGTCGGCTGACATTTGTTGACGCTAGGTGGAGATGCACGCGCGCTGGCTGCAGCCGGATTGGAAGTTGCTGCAGGCTTTGCAGTTTCTGTGAGGGGTTGGGAGCCATTCGCGCACGGAAAAACTTCGCGTGCCCGGGGCCGTGCTTGAATTTCACAACTGAGTTTTGTTTGATGTCACTGTCTTTTTTGGGGGGCTTGGAGTTGATACGTCCCAGTCGGTTGCAATTTGCTGACGACCACGGGTAACCCGTCCTCGCCATTGTTTTTGGGCGGAGTTGGCCATCATTTTTGCCGTCTGCCGGCTTTGGCCAAATTGACATTTTAGCTTAGATTATCACTGTCCACAAAACGACCGCAGAAGAGGTGTTCATTGCTTTCTGGGTGGATGTGCGGCTTTTTTTTCAGGCTTGGATGCGTCCCAGTCGGCCTATATTTGTTGACGCTGGGTGGAGATGGTGAGGCTTCGGACGCAGGCGTCAGTGGCAGAAGGGGTTGGCGGGGTATTCGGGTGTGGAGTTGCCAACGACCACGGGTAACCCATCCTCTTCATTGCTTTTGTGTGGCCATCATTTTTGCCGTTTGCCATCGGCCAACGCCAGTTGGACGGGCGCTGGCTGCGGCCGGATTGGAAGTTGCTGCAGGCTTTGCAGTTTCGGTGAGGGGTTGGGAGCAATTCGCGCATGGAGGCTGCCAAAAAGCTTCGTATGCCCTGCTGGATTCAAGCTACATTTTGTTAGATTTCGCCGAATTGACAATTGAGTTTTAGATGTCACTGCCTTTTTTGGGTCCCTTGGCGTTGATACGTCCCAGTCGGTTGCCAGCCCGTCCTCCCAATTGTTTTTGGGTGGATGTTGGCCATCAGTGTTGGCCGTCTGCCGCCTTTGGCCAATTTGACATCTTTTAGTTTTAGATGTCACTGACCACAAAACGGCCGCAGAAGACCTTTTCATTGGTTTGTGGGTGGATGTGCGGCTGTTTTTTCAGGCTTGGAGTTGATGCGTCCCAGTCGACCAACATTTCTTGACGCTAGGTGGAGATGGCGAGGCTTCGGACGCAGGCGTCAGTGGCAGCAGGGGTTGGCGGGTCATTCAGGTGTGGAGGTGCCTGTCAGTTGCCAAAGTATGGACTTGCCAACGACCACGGGTAACCCATCCTCCTGATTGTTTTTGTGTGGATGTTGGCATCCTTTTTGCTTTTTGCCATCGGGCAACGCCAGTTGGACGGGCGCTGGCTGCGGCTGGATTGGAAGTTGCTGCAGGCTTTGCAGTTTCGGTGACGGGTTGGGAGCCATTCGCGCACGGAGGCTGCCAACAAGCTTCGTATGCCCAGGATTGTAGTTACATTTGTGTTAGATTTCGCCGAATTGACAATTTAGTTTTAGATGTCACTGCCTTTTTGGGGGGCCTTGGAGTTGATACGTCCCAGTCGGTTGCCAACCCGTCCTCCCAATTGTTTTTGGGTGGATGTTGGCCATCATTTTGCCGTCTGCCACCTTTGGCCAATTTGATTCTTTTAGTCCTAGATGTCACTGACCACAAAACGGCCGCAGAAGACCTTTTCATTGGTTTGTGGGTGGATGTGCGGCTGTTTTTTAAGGCTTGGAGTTGATACGTCCCAGTGGGCTGACATTTGTTGATGCTAGGTGGAGATGGTGAGGATTCGGACGCAGGCGTCGGTAGCAGGGGGTGGGGTGGGGGGGGGGGGTATTTGGGTGGAGTCAATTGGAATGCCACTCTCGGTACCCCATCCCCCCCATGTTTTGCTTGAGGTGGATGTTGGCCATGATTTTTGCTGTCTGCCATCGGGCAACGCCAGTTGCACCCGCGCTGGCTGCAGCCGGATTGGAAGTTGCTGCAGGCTTTGCAGCCAAAGTATGGAGTTGCCAACGACCACGGGTAACCCATCCTCCTGACTGTTTTTTGTGTGGATGTTGGCTATCAGTTTTGCCGTTTGCCATCGGCCAACGCCAGTTGGACGGGCGCTGGCTGCGGCCACCTTTGGCCAATTTGATTCTTTTAGTCTTAGATGTCACTGACCACAAAACGGCCGCAGAAGACCTTTTCATTGGTTTGTGGGTGGATGTGCGGCTGTTTTTTAAGGCTTGGAGTTGGTACGTCCCGGTGGGCTGACATTGGTTGATGCTAGGTGGAGATGGTGAGGATTCGGACGCAGGCGTCGGTAGCAGGGGGTGGGTGGGGGGTATTTCGGTGGAGTCAATTTGGAATGCCACTCTCGGTTCCCCGCCCCCCTCATTTTTTCTTGAGGTGGATGTTGGCCATGATTTTTGCTGTCTGCCATCGGGCAACGCCAGTTGCACCCGCGCTGGCTGCAGCCGGATTGGAAGTTGCTGCAGGCTTTGCGGTTTCGGTGAGCAATTCGCGCATGGAGGCTGCCAAAAAAATCGTGTGCCAAGGTCGTAGTTGCATGTCTTTTGCGTTTCGCCGAAGTGACAAATAAGTTTTAGATGTCACTGTCTTTTTTGGGGGGCTTGGAGTTGATACGTCCCAGTCGGCTGCCATTTGCTGACGACCTCAGGTAACCCGCCCTCCCCATGGTTTTGGGGTGGATGTTGGCCATCATTTTTGCCGTCTGCCGGCTTTCGCCAAATTTACATTTTAGCTTAGATTATCACTGTCCACAAAACGGCCGCAGAAGACGTTTTTATCGCTTTGTGGGTGGATGTGCGGCTGTTTTTTCAGGCTTGGAGTTGAGGCGTCCCAGTCGACCGACATTTGTTGACGCTAGGTGGAGATGGTGAGGCTTCGGACGCAGGCGTCGGTGGCAGCAGGGGTTGGCGGGGTATTCGGATGTGGAGGTCCTTGTCAGTTGCCAAACTATGGAGTTGCCAACGACCACGGGTAACCCATCCTCCTGACTGTTTTTGTGTGGATGTTGGCCATCGTTTTTGCTGTTTGCCATCGGCAACCGCCAGTTGGACGGGCGCTGGCTGCGGCTGGATTGGAAGTTGCTGCAGGCTTTGCAGTTTCGGTGACGGGTTGGGAGCCATTCGTGCATGGAGGCTGCCAACAAGCTTCGTATGCCCAGGATTGTAGTTACATTTGTGTTAGATTTCGCCGAATGGACAATTGAGTTTTAGATGTCACTGCCTTTTTGGGGGGCCTTGGAGTGGATACGTCTCCGTCGGTTGCCAGCCCGTCCTCCCAATTGTTTTTGGGTGGATGTTGGCCATCATTTTTGCCGTCCGCCTGTGGCCAAATTGACCTCTTTAGTTTTAGACGTCGCTGACCACAAAACGGCCGCAGAAGACATTTTCATTGGTTTGTGGGTAGATGTGCGGCTGTTTTTTAAGGCTTGGAGTTGATACGTCCCGGTGGGCTGACATTTGTTGATGCTAGGTGGAGATGGTGAGGATTCGGACGCAGGCGTCGGTAGCAGGGGGTGGGTGGGGGGTATTTCGGTGGAGTCAATTGGAATGCCACTCTCGGTTCCCCGCCCCCCCCATTTTTTCTTGAGGTGGATGTTGGCCATGATTTTTGCTGTCTGCCATCGGGCAACGCCAGTTGCACCCGCGCTGGCTGCAGCCGGATTGGAAGTTGCTGCAGGCTTTGCGGTTTCGGTGAGGGGTTGGGAGCAATTCGCGCATGGAGGCTGCCAAAAAAAATCGTGTGCCAAGGTCGTAGTTGCATGTCTTTTGCGTTTCGCCGAAGTGACAAATAAGTTTTAGATGTCACTGTCTTTTTTGGGGGGCTTGGAGTTGATACGTCCCAGTCGGCTGCCATTTGCTGACGACCTCAGGTAACCCGCCCTCCCCATGGTTTTGGGGTGGATGTTGGCCATCATTTTTGCCATCTGCCGGCTTTCACCAAATTTACATTTTAGCTTAGATTATCACTGTCCACAAAACGGCCGCAGAAGACTTTTTTATCGCTTTGTGGGTGGATGTGCGGCTGTTTTTTCAGGCTTGGAGTTGAGGCGTCCCAGTCAACCGACATTTGTTGACACTAGGTGGAGATGGTGATGCTTCGGACACAGGCATCAGTGGCAGCAGGGGCTGGCGGGGTATTCCTTGTCAGTTGCCAAAGTATGGAGTTGCCAAC